TATAGTATAGATATATATATATATATATATATATATATATATATATATATATATATCATGATTGTATACTTTTTATAATTAATTTGCAAAAAGTGATTCTAACGAGTCTCAACATCATATAGCAACTAATTAATGGGTGTTCAAATCCTCCTAAACATGTAGTAAACTCACCCATCAAGTTACCATAACTAACGACTTGCATTACCCGCTTTGTTCCATTGTTTGATGGATTTTAGGTCTCAATGCTTGAAAAATCAAGATATATGACATTGGGATTCAGTTAGGCCTTAATATACATCATAAAAGTAGGTTTATCACCGAAAACACACACACAAAAACACCCGCTTTCCTCCCATAGCAGCGGTTAATCTCCCTTTTGTATCCTAAAAAACCAATAATCGACCCCAATACCATTTTGATCATTAAATATATCAAGAAATCGAGCTTAAAAATAAATAGATTACCTTAAATCGTCAATTGAGAAATCAAGATATGAAGCCTTAATCGTCCTCCATCGACTTCTCCTCCATTCTATCGATTCTCTTCCTGTTTTTTTTTTTTTTTTTTTTTTAAACCCATTATTACTAGTTTAAAAGATTGACACAATAACCCCCTGCATTTTCCTATAAAACAATTCTACCTTCAAACTTTCATATATCCATACTTTCATCGAATCTCTTAAAATGGGATGTTACATTTCCTAAATTATAAAATGAGTTTTTTTAATGAATTTTTATATTACATGTAGATATAATATATACTTTTATCACTACTTTGCTATATTATTAAATTAAATGGACAAACTTATTTATAAAAATAAAAGAAATCCTGTTAGTTTTGAAACATATAAAACTGATGTATATAGATTACATCATAATTTCCATTTCATTTAATGAAAGAATCGGAAAAGGGACTTGTGAATTATGAAATAAAAATCAACCAAATGAAATCATCACAAAGCTTTAAAAATTGGTTCATTAGTTTCACGTCGAAACCGCATGAGTTCACCGGGGTGGAGCACAGTCCGCCAAAATCGGCCCCTTTTTGGGTATGAAGGTACTAAGAGTCCTCTCACTACCAATCAAGATCCGCTAACTTAGAGCCCCTTTAGTAGAGAGCAAAATCGGTAGGTTGAGCTAGTCAAGCAGGCGTTGAACACAGACTGAGACTCCCCCACCCCTTATGTTTTTTAATCGATAGAATACAATATTACAAATTACATTCTCTTGAATATTTTCCATCAAACTTCAATAATTTCGGCCCAAATTTTAGGGCTAAAAAGGGGGTTTACAAGGCCCACTCATTGTGGGCTTGCTAAATTTTATCTTGGTCCATTCGATCATACATGAGATTATCTTTAACAACTATGTTATTTTAGAAATTTTAAAATGTTTAGAAAGTTTGTTCCAACAGTAATGCTAAATTTTTCTCTAAAATAAAGGGAAGAAAATGAGAGATAATGGAGATAGCTTCAAATTTGAAAAAATAGAGACAAAATATACGATACTTGTTCTTATTGGATAAGATGCATAAACGAATACTTAATCGATGTCTAGTACATTTTACTAGATTTTCTCATTTCCATGATTGTTCTCAAACTTTGATCGACCCTAAGATACATGTTATCATTCAATTTTTAGTCACCATCACTTTATTTATTGGATAAATAAATAGATACCGTTTTACCAAAAGTAAACAATATGTATAATGGTATGATGGAAGTGTTTTCATTTAAATTTCTGTATCTTTATCAAAAGCTCTTCAAATTTTGTGAATAAGAGAATTGCATAACTATATTAATCTATATTAACTTATAAACCAAATTTATCAAATGTCTTAAAAACAATTTTTAATGCATAAAATACTATACATTTATCACAAAGTCTTAAATTTTTTAAAAACAACTCATAATGCATTAAATATTACTACTTTATACATTCATTCTTAGAATCTTTTAATCTATAATTAAAATAACATATAATAAAAGTTACCAATGCACATTATTATCTTTTCTTTTCATGTCCTAAAAATATTTTTGACATCTTTCACTCATGCTTTCACCTTCTCATATCTTTATGTTTTCTTCCCATCCCCTAAGGTGAGATTCAAAATTAAATTCACCATGAGTTATTAAAAGTTCTCTCATTCATCTCTCATTCAATTGCTCTAGAACTCTCGCTCTCGATCTCTTGATTCTTTGCTTTGGATATAAATCGAACACATTTGTGGAGTCGTTTAAATATATTGGATTTTAAACTGTCATACAATTTTTTCATCGATAGCCAGTAATTAGAACCATAACTCTTATTTATTCAAATTATATTAATATGTAAAGATTAATTGTAACTTATATCATCGTTAAATTTCTCTAATAAAACCAGTGAAACTTCAAAGCGATAAAATTTACAGCTCCTGCCGCATTTCACGGGTACATAACTAGTTAAGTTAAAAGGAGATATGATTTTATTGAACTGATTGGCCATAAGCATAGCCCTCGTGCTCTGTACAAACAAGTTGAAACTCGAAAACGATTTCAGATCTCTAGATCTCCTTCCTCATTCAGACTCATATCGACGTCAGGTTAGACGATCTTTCCGGTTTATTAATTAATTATAGTAATTAACAACTTATCCATCCTTCATCAGGTGTATTGTGGTTGTTACAGGAGATGGAGATAGAGAAATTAGATGATCCAAACCTAGAAAGCTGCGACCATCGTTTCTGCTGCAGAGATCGACACATTAGATCCGGATTCATCTTCATCTTCATCTGCTTCCCACATAAATTGTGCGTATGATCCCATCACCATACTGCCATTTTCCAGATCACAGTAGTTAGTTGATTACATGTACGTTTTTTGTGACTTTTGGCGCTAAAAGCGACGATCTAACACTGCCTCGATTAATTAATTGATTGATCCATTGATGAACATGAGATGTAACGTACCAATCGTCAGGAGAGGCGCTAGCGGCCTGATCGAAGTATGATTTAGCTCGCTCTCCATCTCTGTGTGTGTCCCAAATTAGTTTGCCGTACAACGATAGAAGTTCACCGTCTCCAGGACTCGCAAGTATCGCTCTTCCATAATACTCCTCTGCTTTAACAGGATCTCCTTCAACCTAGGCTTAGCAAAATTGAGTATAGTTAGTAATAAGAACAGATTCATCGAATTAATTGACGATTGAAGAATCATCAGGAGTAAAATGGATCAAACTGTATATACACACCTCGTGCAAGAATTTGCCGTAGTTTCTGAGGATAAGAGGATCATTAGGGTTCGATTTCAACATTTGTTGATAGTAGGCTCCAATTTTGCTCCGTTCATAATCGTTGTTGCTACTTCCGCCAGAAGATCGTCCTGGACCAAAACCATCGCGATCCTTTCCACTCCCACTACCGGCGCTAGGAAATTGCAACTCATCCACTTTGATTCCACTTGCCGGCGTGGAACTCATTAGATCAAAACATTTCTCTGCGAACTTCAACGATGCAGTACCTGTAATACATGAAGAGAACAAGTAACATATTTGCTAAATTCATATTTTAATGACCAGTTGAATTTATGTAAATTAAGAGTTGATTTATAATACTTATAAGTTTATTGAATGATCAGTCTTGTGAATACATATTGTGGTATAAATATAAAGTATGAAGGGACACAACCCTTGGTATGGTGGTTATTAACAGTTACCTGATGGGGG